GGATCCCGGGTGGGCACCGACGCACCGCTTCTCCGGCCATGCTGAGGCCGTGTCCCACATACAGCAACTAGAAGGATGTGGAACTATGACGTACAACTATCTACTGGGGCTTTGGGGGGGAAAAAAAGGAGGAGGATTGGCAATAGATGTTAGCTCAGAGCCAGTCTTCCTCAGCAAAAAGAGGAGGATTAACGTGGATGTTAGCTCAGGGCTGATCTTCCTTACACACACACACACACACTCTCTCTCTCTATATATATATATGGCAAAACGATAGAATTACAAGGAAAAATTTTTTCTCTTTTTTCAGTTTTGTTAAGGTACAATTGACAGATAAAATTGTAAGATATTTAGAGTGTACATTGTGGTGATTTGATATATGTATACATTGTGAAAAGATTCCCACCATTAGTTAATTAACACATCCATCACCTCACATATTTATCTTTTTTGTGTGTGTGTGAGAACATTTAAGTTCTACTCTCTTAGCAAATTTCAATTATACAATACAATGTTATCAACTATAGTCACCATGTTTTACATTAGATCCTCAGACCTTATTTATCTTATAGCTGAAAGTTTTACCCTTTTACCAGCCTCTCCCTATTTCCCCCACCCCCCAGCCCCTGGCAACCACTTTTTTTACACTCTGTTGCTATGAGTTTGACCTTTTTCTTTTTTTTAGATTCCACATATAAGTGATACCATGCAGTACGTGCCTTTCTCTGGCTTATCTCATTTAGCATAATGTCCTCAAGGTCCATCCATGTTGTCACAAATGGCAGGATTTTCTTCTTTCTCACGACTGTATAATTATAAGGAAAAATTGACACATCTACCACCCCAGAGGAAGATTTGGAAGATTTTAACTACTCTTACAGCAATTAATAGATAAAAACCCAAAACTAGTAACGGTAAACTTGCTGTGAATAATACAAATAAGCTTGAGCCACTAGACGTACCCAGAACACTCTACAATTAGTAAATGCACATTCCTCTCAAGCACACAAAATATTTATAAAAATTCACCACATACTAAGCTTTAAAGTTTGTCTCAACAAATTTTCCAGAATCAGTATTACTATCATATCTCTTATGTTTTATGACCATAATGCAACCATGTTAGAGAATGATAATGAAAGGAAAACTAAAAAATTCCTGTACAGTTGAATCTGAAACTTAGGTATACTGGGGAGTTGAGGCAGTAGGAAGACGGAAGAAGAACTTCAGAACTTGCCTTGGATTTCATTCCCATCCTCTCTCCATCCCCATCACAGGTGCACTCCAACTTCCTGAACCTGTTCCAGTCCACACAGCCGGGGGGTCTGCTGTTCGAGGTACTGGTGTTTGCCGAGCGGCTGAGTGAGGGCCAGAATTCACCCCACTACCGTGCCGTGAAATGGCATTACAATGAACAGTCTCTGCATGAAGCTCTCTTTGGGGATGAGTCACGACTGGCAGACCGGCTGCTCACCCTGGTCATCCACCCTGAGGAGGAGGTTCAGATTCAGGCCTGCAAGGTCATAGTCAGTCTGCAGTGCCCCCAGGACGTGGGAGTCCGGCCCTCCTCCTGCCAGCCCAGTCATTCCTACTTTAATAATGGGGAATAAAATTAAAATGAGCCAATAAATGAGTATGGGAGAGAAGCTTGAGGGGCAGTGTCTGTCCGGGGCCTTCCAGGGCTAGGTGGAGATTTCATCCAGCATGACCCCTGCCCCAGAGCATGGCAAGGCATGGACACATCTACCGAAACTCATCCCCACTTCCTGTTTGGAGGACAGACTCCCCTCTCAAATTTGAATGTGCAGCTAATACTTTCAGGGAGTTTCAGGGAGAATGCAGGTTTGGGGACTGAGGCCAAAGACAATCAACAGAAGACAGTATAGCGTTGGATCACTGGATGGGCTAGGCTATGCCACAGTAACAACCAACCTGCAAATCTTAGTGGCTTAAAAATTACCAGGGTTATTTCTTATTCACGCTACATGCCCATCGCAGGTCAGCTGGGGGATAGAGGAGCAGGCGTCTGTCTCACATCATCTTCTCTCAGGGACCCAGGCTGAGGATAGCTCTTTGTTGTTTTTCTACAACTCCTAAAGAAGGAAAAAGGGAACGTGGCAATGATCACTGGCTCTTAAAAGTTCCACCAGAAATGGTGCTCACCACCTCTGCTCACATCTCACTGGCCAACATGTGTAGGGAAGATCAGTTTTGCCCTGTGTCCAAGGAAGAACTGAAAATATTTGGTGATAGCATTAATGACAGACAACTGCAGGCATATTAGGGAAGGGTGAGAGCTCTGGAGTCAGACTGCCAGGTTCGAATCCCAGCTCTGTCACTTACTAGCTGTGTGGCCTTTGACAAGCCATATTTGAGCCTCAGTCCCCTCACCTGTAAAATGAATATAATAATAGTACTTATCTCATGAGGCTGTTGGGAGGATTATATGGGGATTATATGAGTTAATGAATGAAGTTAACAATGTTCTCCATGCAGAGGGTATTCATCGAAGATGGAGTCTGAGGAGTTATAAAATCATCATTGGGGAAATGAAAGATTAGCACTGGAAAGGTCCTTGGAGAGCATTGAGTCCCATGTTTCTCCAGTCTCTTTGGGTTACAGGCACTGAGGAGTCCCAGAGCCGTTTAGAAGCACCCTAAAATGCCACTGGAACTTAGCTTGAGAAACCAGAGCGATTGTGCGAGTAATATAAAACCATAACCATGAAGTCTCCAGAAACAAGAAGACTGTCAAATCAAATATGGTCACCCATTTTCAGATTTTCCCATTCATTGCATTTCCTACTTGTTCCTTCATTGTGTTATCTGTGAGCCCTTGCTGGCAAACAAACAGTAGTGGTTGCTAATGGTTTAAGAAAATGTTAAAGGAGAAAATCCTAAAAGTGGAGCTATTCCTAGTCTGCTACCACTTGATTTAGGAGGCAGGACATGTTGGCCCAGCTATGGAACCCCAGTGTTCTTCAGAGGCAGGATTTCAAAAGCACAGTCTAGTCCAAGGCCAACTCTGGCATTTTGCTGAAGGGAAAACAAACCCAAAGAGGAAAAGTGGCTTGCTCAAGGTCACATGACTGGTCTGGGGCAGAAATGGGATTAGAACCTCCTATACTTGGGCTTTTTGCTTTCATATTCTTTGGCCCGAGTCCCCTGAGAGTGGACCATGGATTCTAAGCCAGAGTCTGTGGCAGTTGAGAAAGACCTCAATACTTTTGGCTTTTAGGGGCCAGTTTAGGACTGAACTACTTGAGGAAATCTGTTTCCACTGAATCCCTGACCCAGGGCCTTATTGCTTGGGTGGATGGTGTGGGTGGGTGGAGGGTTGTTGATGAGGATGGGCTGATCAGAGGGAGCCAGTCGCTACTAAGGGGCCATCCTCGTCACCATCTCCCAAAGTTTGACTTGTCACCTCTGAGTGGACAGTCACTATCAGATCTGAATCATCGGCTCTCATCTCTCTCCTGAGTTCAGGCCTGAGGCTGCTCCGTCATGCTACTTGGGCACATTGCAGTCACCCCGATGGAACTTGTCAAAGCCAACATCATCCTACCCACTCCTCAACCAGCTCTCTGTGTTCCTATGTCAGCAGCTAGGCATTGGGCCTCACCTTCAGCTTCTCCCCACCACATCCAACCAGCCATTTCGAACATCTCACATCCACCCAGTTCTCCAGTTTCCACTGCTGCTACCGTATCCCCCACAACAGGACTTTTGGGTATAATTTTCCTACTTCTATTCTCCATCCTCTCCAGACCTACACACTTCAGGCTAATATTAGAACCCCACATTGCATCATCCTCAAAAACCTTCAGGGGTTCCCCACTGCCATAGTGAACTTTTTCTCAGCCCCAAAGCTAAGTCGCATGATCTGACAAGTATAAATATACTTACAGCAAAAGCAGGCTGAATTTTGGTCACTGACCAAAAGATATGGTCACTGGACCCCTTTTTTACATAATAGTGCCAAATGAATTAGTTTTGCATGTGAGGCCCTTCACAATCTGGTCATCTTGCCTGCCACTAGCCTACCATGTCAAATCTCTTCTCCAGCCAAACTGGAGCAAACAAGTCACTGCTGACCTAATCCTACCATGTGTCATCTTGCCTCTGAGCTTTTGATACAAACTTCTCCCTGTCTATAATGCCCTTCTCTCTCCTTTCCACTGGGCTGTGTCCTATAGTGTCATCAAAGTTGAACCATGTCCTACTGCAGCCTAGAGCTTTCTTCGACTCTACTAGCCTTTGGCGCTTCCCGCAGCACTTCTCATCTGAACCTCTCATTTGGCTTTGGCAAATGAAAGCTTGTATCTCATCAACTTTGTTCTTTTTGCAGTAGGTCATATCTGACTGCTTATAAAAGCCTTGGAGGAAGAGCCTGCTCTGGATAAGCACATGATAACTGTTGGCTGTTGGTAATGAAAGAAAAGCTGGCAATGGGCGATGAGATGGGGAGGAGTGTATTGGTTATTTGTTGCTGTGTAACAAATTATGGCAAAAGTGTATCAGTCTGGGTCCAGTCAAGAGAGAGAAACCACACAGTAATTTGAACAGGGAAATTTTAATATAATTATTTATTACAATAGGGGATTGGAGTAACAAAGAATTGGTTAGTGCGGAGTAAAGAGAACTCTAAAGAATACATGAATAGCAGACATAGGAGCAGTCCCCACCCCAGGGCTGAGGCTGAGATTGAGCACCCAAGGAAGAGATACTCACCCCCACTCCCAGACTGAAATCCAGGCCTTGTTGAGGAGAGCACAGCCTGTGGCTCACCAGATGGCAGAAAAGTCACTGTGGTGTCATGCCAGTGGAATTTGCAGAAATCTGCCCTCTAAGATGCCAAGGAAAGCTCTTCACTTGTGTTGAACCAAAGGTACTCACTACAAACTGCCTAAGCAGGGTATAGGAGCCTCCATGTACTGTAGGAGGCTGGTTGGAGAACCTGTGAGGGCTGCAGGAGCTTCATGCTGGAGAAGCCACGTGCACAGCAGGTGCTGGGTGCTGGAGAAGCTGCAATGGTTGGAGGAGGTGGAGGTACTCTGCTCACACTACTGCCCAAGAGGGGCAGTGCCAGGAGAAGCTGCTGACCACTCCAGGAGAATGTTCAGAACTGGACACTTCTGAAGCTGTTGGCACTGCAGGAGCCTGCCAATCGAGGGCACTAGAACCAGGGAGCAAAAACCTTTCCCTCCTACAGTGTCTCTCCAGCTCCCTCCCTCTTAGCAATTTAAAACATCAATAAACATTTGTTATGTCTTATTGGAATTCAGGAATATCTTGGCTGGGTGGTTCTGCAGTCAAGCTATTGGCCAGGGCTGCAGTCATCTGAAGGCTTGATTGGGGCTGGAGGATCCACTTCCAAGATGGCTTGCTTATGTGGCTGGCAAGTTGGTGCTGGCTGTTGGCAGGAGGCCTCAGTTTCTCTGCATATGGGCATCTCCACAGGGATGCTTGAGAATCCTCATGACATAGCAGCTGGCTTCTCCTAGAGTGAATCATCCAAGAGAGAGCAGAGCAAGAGCTGCAGTGCCTTTTCTGACCAAACTTCAGAGGTCATACCTTATCCCTTCCACCACATTCTACTAGTTAGAAGTGAGTCACTGGGTCCAGCTCACATTCAAAGCAAGGGAAATTAGGCTCTACCTTTTGAAGAGAAGAGTGTCAAAGAATTGGTGAACATTTAAAAACCACCACAGGTGGCATCAATCAACAAGGACTAATGGAACACCTACTGTGTGCTCAGCAGCTGGCTACATCTTTCTCCCCCTAGAGAGGTTCTCTGCCAAGGAAAAGAGGAAGTTGATAACCAATAGTTGCCACCCTATCCCTTCCCTCCGTCTTCCTTCCAGTTGGTTAGCTTGTTTCCTTACCTGCAGACTTCTTTTAACTTCAGGCAATTATATTTCCAAGGAAACATCTCTTTCCATCTTTTCAGTTGATTCTAAGAAGACTTCATAGAAGAGAGGGGCTTATTGGATCACCAGAGAAGAGAGGAGAGAGAGAGAAGAGCTTTCCAGGTTGGGAAACCACTTGAACTTTACCAAAAGGGAAACCATTCAGAGTTTCCTTCTGGTGGGATGGTGGTAGGGGCTGGGGTGCTGGTAGATGGCGTTCAGCCAGCCAGATTGTCAATTACTCCTGTAACTGATTTCCTGAAGGAGATGTGTGCAAGACAGAGACCAGGGAACTCCAAGCCTCTCTCGATGGCTTCCAAGTAGGACCCTGGCACAGGCTTCTCAAGCAAACGGGGCTGGAGTCGCTGGCTTTGTCTTAAGACTTGAAGCAGAGCCTCTCCTCTCTAAACTCACCTTACCACCAACTGCTCTCTGAGCTCAAAGCAATAAGAACTCCAGAGTTGCTTTTATGAGTGAAGGAATAGAGAAAAGGAAGAGAGAAGAGAGATTGATTTACATTTTGTGAAATAGGAATCCTTTTATCATCAGCAAAATCAACTTTTATACATCTCCAATAAGAGTAGATGGCAAGTGTAGTAGACAATCTTCTAAAATGACCCTCAGGATCCCCACTTCCTAAATATGCCCTTGTGTAATGTGCCCCCTTGAATGTGACCTGGACCTGGTGACTTGCTTCTAACCAATTGACTATGGCAAAGTGAGGGACTGTTACTATAG